TAAAATGGATGTTGTCTTAACATGGCCAAGAGCAAGTGTAGTTGGTAGGGGGGTGCCTACTACTACTACTACTACTACTACTACTACTCCTGCTACTACTACTACTACTACTACTACTACTACTACTACTAGCACTAGTACTCCTACTACTACTACTACTACTACTACTACTACTACTACAACTACGACGACGACGACGACGACGACGACTACTACTACTACTACCACACCCCTGCTGTAGCTGACACCGCAGCGGCAGCAGCAACACCTGCCGCTGGAGAGTAGTAGTAGTAATAGTCGTCGTCGTCGTCGTCGTCGTCGGTAGTGGTAGCAGCAGCCGCCGCCGCAGTGGCAGGTGCAGCATGCATTGCCCACAACATCTAATCTAATTGCACGGCCTGGCCATTCATACCCCGGTTTAAACTTGTACTACTTTAAAAGGTCCGGGGTAGTCGCAGGAGAGTCCTCTGCGCTAGGATTCTACCGGGGCAAAAGGTTGAAGCTACGTCTCTTTTCTGACCCTCGTGAACTCTGCTACTACACTGTTGTGCATTGCACCGTGCATGACTGCAACTATGCCACTATGCCAGCATAGATCCCCGAACGACCCCGACGACACCGCCAGGACTGCCGACCACCACAACGACCACAACAAACACGACGACCAAGACCACCGTGACCACCACGAGACCACGAAACAACCGGCACGAAGGAGACCACCAGGAGAGCAAGAGACCAACGCAGACTCAAGCATAGTAACTGCTGCAAGAGATCTGAATGATCTTCAACACTCGCTCCTTGAAGAGATACTCTTCATAGCCTTGCTCCAGCTTGCACTTCCAAGCGGTTGCACGCTGGCGCTGCACGAAAACTGAACAAAACACTTGCAGAGCAATCTGAGTAAGACCCTGTCAACCAGGATCTGACTCCTCGTCCTCCTGGCAGGCCGCCGACAGGGAGATCGCATCGCGCACAGGACCTCTGGAGCGCACTTTGAGTGCATGTTGGCTGCTGCTGCGAGTGATGCCGGTGGCGTCAAAGCACGAGGATCGAGCCGGAATACGTCTCGTTGTGCATCGAAAGATCTCGCCTTAAGCGATCTCGCGCCATCTCGAAGCTAAACGTGCACGGGCGCAACGAGGAAAAGAAGGCAAAGCATCTCCGAGAAGCTGACATGCGGTTTAGACAGGCATCGATCTCACCGGTAGCCAGGAACACGGTGCTCTTGTGCCAATAATCATTGGCATGCCTTGCAAAGTGTGCGGTCCTGTGCAACTTGTCAAGGCCTATGCTGTGTGTCAACGCCATGGGGCTGGTAGTAGCCGTACCACGTCTCATAACCTCCGAGACTGATGTGAACGGCGGCACATCTCTCGTTCTGAGCGCAACCAGGCCTCGGCCCTTCGGTGAGTGTTCGGGAGTTGCCATACCCGCATCCCACTTTCCGACCTGCCCAAAATCATGTGGCAATGCTGCTGGCCATCGGACACGGCGATTGCCCCGAGGTTCCAGCAATGTGCGTCCTGTAGCCTCCAGACAAGGCTTGTTTTTCCTGAACTTTTGCATGAATCCAAAAGCCAGCTCGAGCCTCCATCCCGCATCTTCTCAGCAATGCCTCCCCATGATTTCTTCTCTCAGTCGCTAAGTGGATCCGACAGCATGGAGCCCGGCCTGTCATGTTTCTTGGGATACCTGCATATCCGCTCACAGGGTCATCGTAGTTCCGGGAGGTGACTGCCGAGTTGACGGGATTCACATGCACCTGCACAAGGCGAAAGCTTGCTGGAGACGAATCTGGCGGTAGTAGTGTTCCAGCTTTGTTCTTGCGGACCAGCTGCTGCGAGACGACCAGATTGTATGGAGGATCGAGTCGGTGAGCAAATCTTGTACGTGTAGTGCCTCAGACAAACGGAGCGAACAGAACTTCTTGCAGCGCCTAACCGTGCACCACTACGGCCAAGAAGCCTCTCCAAAAGAATGCCCTCATCGATCAAGGCATCCATGTTTGGCGTGTGCACCTCCACCTTGGCAGCTGCGATAAGAATCCAGCCCAACATGTAAGACATCATTTTATTTCTTCTACTGTCCTCTTTACAACACATGATAAAGAACATATCATCTTCAGAGTTCTGCCTTGCCCTGCTGCTCCTCGGGAGTGGAAGCGGCGTCTCGACGGTGCACCTGAGCGAAAGGCAGTGAATGCGAGGATTGCACAAAGCACGTCGACTAACAGTTTCTTGGGCACGCCCATGTTGCCCCAGCCATAGTCGTCTGCGAGAATGAACAGCACCTTGAACGAAGCTGGGTCATCTTCAGCACATGCTTCTTGCAAAGACCAATTTCATGCCAAGCCGCATGCGGCTTCTCTGCTTGCGCCAGCAGCGGGGCGACGGCCAAGAGTGGCAAAACGAAGAAAGCCATGGCTGTGAAGATTGGAAGATAAAATGTGGAGCAGCTGCCGAGCCGACACCATGTGGGCAAAGCGAGGCAAAACGAATTGCAGCTGCTGGCTGCATTCACTCCTGCAAAGAAGCTGAGGTATGTAACCTGATCGACATACTGCTTGGCGTATTCAAGCACGCGGTCGGCTTCTGCCTTCAGAATCTCCTGCCCGAGGAACAGGGTCTGCCCCGAACTCGAATCTACTGCTTGGAAAACATATCAAAATGCATGAATTTTGCGGTTTTGTTATGGATTAATTTGGTTTGGGTACGTTTTTGCATTAATGTTTTGTCTATGGCTGTTTATGCTCTTTGCATTGCGGTGTATGGTGCTCAATGCGTTGGCAAATGGCTCGTTTAGAGCACAGTTTAACAAGTTGTTGAACCATCTTGTTGATTTGCGCTTTGGGGTTTCATCTAAATGTCTGTGCATGAAGGTGGCCGTTATTCGGTGTACATTGGGGCCCCGCCTCATGCGCAAGAGAAAACGGACACGTAACTTGATCGTCAAAGAAAAGTATGAAATGTGATGATGCCTCCGCAAAAATCAATAGCACGAACTCATTCCATTACATCTCTGCAGAAAAAACGCAGGAAGCTGTCGAAGTTTTAGTATTCAGGGCTGGGCTTCGGGGTTCAGATGGAAGCAAATCCCTGTCGAAACGATCTTTCACTCCGTGTCGCTGCTCTGGGCTCCGGTCTTTGCTCCCGAGTTACATGGCCCGTGCAGCACCGCTTAGCAAGCTAACTAGAATCTTAACGCACCCACTGTCTGCCTACACAACGCGAATGGCTCTCTCATGGCCAAAGCGAAAGTTGACAACAACATGCTAGCGCATTTCGCCAAGACTTGTCCCCAAATTTCGGGCGAAAGAGAAACATGATTGGGAAACTCGAAAGGCCCTGATTTAAAACGATTTAAAGTTTAGGGTCTCGTGGCCTCCCAACAGCGGAAGCGTGCTGCCTTGTGAGTTGTCCGGAATCTAGCGTCGAAAGTCTGGCCCAATCCCACAGAAACTCAAACGAAAACTCGAAGGCCACAGATGTAGGGTTAAACAGTGGGAGCATGTTGTGAAGCTTCATCAGGGACAATGTTGCTGCATTGGATCAGCTGGGCCAAGCGTCTTGATATGTACTTTTGCTAGCGCCAGGCTATCGCGGATCTAGAGCCAAGGTGCGGTTTAACGTGCCCAACATTGGGCCCCGCCTCATAGCGAAGAGAAGGAAGAGGTTTCTAAACATAATGGCGGCCACCTCTCGTTGAACTCTTTAACCGCCCTTTGTGGTGAAAGCCCATTTGGACCTTTTCATGTTCCATGGCTATAGCAGCAAGGAGGAGATGCCCAAACACCCCAGGCTCCGAAAAAGGCCCCCAGCAACGCACCAGGAAAGAGTATGAAGAGACTCCAAAACAACTTGTTCAAAGCCCTGTGCACCCCAATGGCACCCAGTTTCGGGAGCGAATAGAGAACATGACAAAAATCCCGTCAGTTTTCCATAAAACGAATTCTCGGTACATGTGATTAGGAATCTAGTGCAGACCGCCAAGACCATGGCTTCAGAAATTGACACTGCACGGCTCCCAGATATGCTAGACCCCTCCATGCAGACGAGCCCTGCCAGCTCCACCCCCAACCCTAAGAGCTGGCTATGTAGCAAAAGCAATAAAAAAACACCTAAGAATAACATGCTCAAGAAAAATAGCAAAGCCATGAACAAAAACACCAAATGAACAACATAAGCGCTAAAAAATTGCTCTTCATACCTGCTCAAGAGGAACACAAACCCTTGCTCGAAAAATATTGGCAATATCGGGGCGGGCTGGTATAGGATCGAGATACCACAAAACTCGAGTTGATTGAGCTGACCGGTGCTCGGCGAGCTCAGCCGCAGAACCCTGCGTCCTGCTGTGCTCCCGTCTCTGGCAACTCGTTGTCCAAGACCTGCCGACGGCCGAAGCATCGAAGTGGAAGAGCTCTTCATGTCACGCACTTTCCCTTCCCTCTCCTCATTCAGCTCCTTGTTCAGAGCTTCGAAGGTATCCGGGCCTGGGATGCAGTGTCTTCTCGCTGGCAGCTTCGGGAAGCGCTGAGCTCCGCTGCACTGTTCCGAGCTGCAGACTTGCGTTGGAGAGTTTCTGCAAGACCCGGAGGACGGAGAGCGTCGCCTGCTCGAACGTACATCCAGGAAGGTGTTTTGGTTATGGAACACCAGATCCGACCTGCTGCTGGCGCAGCACTTTTGCTTCGTCCTCGCGGCGCTTCCTGCAGTCCGAACACAAGCGATATGGATGCAACCAAGACAGCCGCAGAAGAACTGCAGGAAGCACTGGCCGGACTGTCGAGTGTCGAGACATGGTGAAGCTTCAATCGGCAGACTGAGGGCAGCACTGATCTTCCTCTGCGCGCCGCTTTTCCTCGTCGGCTCGACGAACAATCTCCTCCTGTACAAGTAGCCGAGCAGCAGAGCACACCCATCCATGGTCTCAGGAGTCGTTTGGCCACGCTGGTCCTCATGCCGCTTCCACTCTTCTCGCCGCTTCCGCTCCATCTCCTCAAGAGTGAGCAACTGAACAGTCCCCGTCACTCCGGTCAACCCACTTGTGCCTCTTTTTGCTGCTCCTCCTCCACCTTTCGGCGCTCCTCAAGACTCTCTATTGCCGTGCTCCCAGAATTCTGCATCCGCCAGGCCTCGTCCTGCTTCCTCTCCTCTGCAAGTCTTGCCTGAATAGCTTGAAGCCCCGCATGATCCCACTCCCCATCCCAACCACTCCAGGTGCCCGGGTGCCCGGCTCTCCTCTCCTCGTCGGCTTTCTTGCGCTCCTGCGAGGAAAGAGAGAGACAGAGAGAGAGAGA